GTCGCAGGTATTTTGTGTAGCCTCATTAATGTATTTCCATTATAAACTTTGGAAGAGCGCTTCTTTTAGTTTTCCGGTTCCTTGTGTGCTTTTTCCATTTAATTACCGATTTTGTTTTTAAATTTTGTACTATTGTGAGTTGAGGTGCACGTTTATGGTTTTAAACAGAAATTAAATATTTTCGTGCCATATATGGAAAATAAAGGTACGAAGTTTAAGAATTTATCAGGAAAACATTTGGTACAAATTTCCATTAAAATTAATTGTATAAAATAAGATAAGAATATTTTTTTCAACATATGCTTTGCTATTATTTAAATGTTTATTGCGTTCGTGAATTTGGTTTCGTATTCTCGTTGCACAGGGATCCCATGTTAGCCTGTCATTTGAAAAATATCGTTAATTCTTCTGTTACCTTGTTGTCATTGTCAAAGTAATTCTAAAGAAGGTAGTTAGATAAAGAAGGAAATATACTAATTTACTCGATATTAAGGCTGAAACTTTTAATTCGGGATCCGAAACTTCCCACTTGAATTAATTTTTTGCAAGGAAATATTGAAACATGCATGTCAACAATATGTCTCCGAATACTGCCGCGGACCTGTTAGGTGTCATACACAAACTCTCCTTTATTTATTTATTTTTGATGTTTTCTCAAAATACTCAAATATCATTTGTTTATGAACTGGTATTTTTCGTCGCTAAGGAAGCAAAAGTCATTAAGAACAACTCCCTGTGTTTGGTAGAAAGCCGAAACCGTAACTTCATATACTAAAACGGGTCTTGTATATATATTTTTTTAGATCGTAGAACTCCGTATGATCCCGATCAAATAATTATTTTTTGGATTCAAGTATATGGCAAAAACTGAATTTAGTACACATTTATAATTAAATCCGTGAATTAATTATTCATTCCAAAGAAAATTAACGCATAACGCAGTGTTTACGTTTTGTGCTTTTGCATTATGCACATGCATTTTTGAGTACTCTTAATTCTTGGATCATGGCTCCATGAAACAAAGTCTTCGAGATTTAGGGGAAAATTTCGTGCACGTCCCGTTTCGCTTCATTCACTGTAGTAAGAATTTCACTTTCGAATATCTGATGAAACCTATCAGAGTTTGAACGTGACCTGTCGCTTTGTTGGTCATGAATATGTTCATCATGAATCCTGCTTTGAGAACTCCCACTCCTTTTCTCACTTTTGCCAATTCCATATGTCACCATAAGATATCACAAATTCATCTGTGAGTTTCCGTAGGGCACTCACCTTTCGTGAAAAATAACATAACAATCTTCATCTTACATCTTCAGGGATTCTGCATTGCTACTCCACTTCAAACACGCCTTACTCAAAATAAGCGCTAGCGAAGCAATATTAAACACGAGAATAAAACAATAGATTTGAGTTTTGTTTGTCATTCTGTTCTAAATGATAACCACCTTAAAACTGACAAGCGACGCATATCTACTTTCTGAATACTCTATGTAATCGTTATCAGAATTTCTCACTACGCCCGCCATAATGAAATGTCATAATTTCAGCTTCATACTTATCGTTCTGGTTGGCTGCCTTTATAGCCTACCTGCAAGTAAATTTTGCAATGTATAATTTCTTTTGAAAAATTTCTTGGAATTCATTAGATTTGAATACAACAGCATTATTATTCGGAAACAAGCCGCCCAGACGGTATAGTGCTTAAGGCAACCGACTGCGATACCAAAGGGTCCGGGTTCAAATCGCGGAGAAGGCATCGTTGTAACTGTCCGTCCGTTCATAGGAAGCAAAGGTGGCCCACCTATTAGATGCCTCCATAATAAATTGACAACCACTTCTGGCCTTAGTAGTAGCCAAGTCGAACTCGGCTGAACGGCCCACCGTTTGTTTAAAAAAATATTATATTCGGAAGCAAACCAGCTAACAAATGAATGTCTTCAAGCCTTGGACTTCAAGTTTGTTTGGTTAAACGAAGTGATTATTTACCAAAAATATATTACCAGTTAGGTTCCTGTAGTTAATTATATTTACCAAAAATATATTACCAGTTAGGTTCCTGTAGATAATGCAGGGATACTTATAAAGAAACTATGAGAACCTTCTCATCTCTAAATCCAACTGTACTGGCAAAATTTATGACCAATCTGTAATTTCCGAAAATGGCAGAATAGTTTATGCATAACACAGTAATTATATTTGTAAATTTTGTATTGTCTGTTTATATTTCGCAGTCCAACATTTTAATATCATTTACTTGTAGATGATCAAAATGTTTTGCAAATGTTCATGTAGTGCTTTATTGCCAATAATTTCATTTCTCTATCGAAAGCGAATACTCATTATTTCATAAAGATTGTAAGCTACTTTATAAAGTAACGTTATCAAAGTATTTACTTTTCGCTCATATCATAGACTACTTATCAGTTTCTTATATAATTAATAAAAATGAACTGTAGTCGCAGTTAAATTTGCTTTAAATTTGCAAAAAGCAATTAGTTAAAATTCTGAAACTCTCAAATTTATTTAATTCGGTAAATGTAATCCATTGTAAAATATATTTCAGTTATGATCTTTCAGTTTCTGTTACACGTCTACGATGTGTGTTTAATTCTTAATCATCGCACTGGTTGTGACGTAAAACTTGCACTGTCTGCGCGACGCGAACATAATTGCTGGTGGCATATTCCAACAGCAAGCTATTTTCTAAATATCGCGATGTTTAGCCGCATTTTCAAAAATTAAATTTCTTCCTTTTTTTAGATCTATTAATTTGTCATCGATACGCAATTATTGTCATCGATATGCAAATGTTGTCATCGATATGCAAATGTCATCGATATACATTTATATTATCTTGCAAGAAATGTTTAAAATGTGTAAGCAAACATAGACTGAAAACAAATATGTTGTTACCTTCATTCATAAATTTAATATAAAAGAAGAATATTCATAAAAGAAATAAATACTATAAGTTAAGATGATGCATATATAAGGGTTAAGGTGAATATGTTTTCAAATTTTATAGAATCGATTATTTTGGAGACTTTGGAAATACCATTTTAAAAATTTGGAAAATAGCAAATTAGCACTGCATAATTAAATACCTTTATTCTTTACATTTTTAAATCGTCTATTATAGTGCTTTAACAGCTAATTTTTTTATTACAAATGGTATTAGAATAGCCTGTTTATATGTATGTTAGGTAAGCAAGTACACTTAGAAGTGATGATGCGTAGAAGCATTAATAGTATAGAACGTAGAATGTTAAATCCGTAAAACGGCAAACTTGGCAGCAGAGGCAGATTAAATAGTCATCTTTATTTCAATTAACGACTGCGGCCACAATTCACTTGGCACTATCCAAAAACATTTACATTTTTAATGCTGTTGAGATAGGAAGGGAGCAACGAGGCAGCGTTTTAACGAGAACAGAGGTAAAAGCGAAGTGCGCAGTTATCAGTATCGATTTCACCAAGAGAAAGGTTCTAAATTTTTAGTTTCAGTTCCAAATTAGCTACGTCATCAGCGTTATGCTTGTCATATGATATGGATTCATCTAGCAACGAGCAGTCCAGAAATAGATATTACTATTTTTAGAACAGAAATGGTAAATATCCAAATTAAAAAGGGGAAATTAAAGGGCTACTGCTAATTTAAATTATAAATTTGATTTACATACTTTTATCTTACACACATATATATTTCCCGAAATATTGAGATTTCAAGGTTGAAAGCCTTTCCTAACATTTCTTGGAATACAGTAGATGCTGCTTATTTGCAACTGCTTCTAATTTTATAATTCGGATATTGCTATTGAATTGCCAAAGTCTCGCCCGCTTTTCTACAAAAACACGGAAAAAGCATCGCTTATTGTAATCAACAATTCGGCTAATGTGATAACTGAAGTAAAGTCGCCAAAATAAAAAAGGTCAAAATAGATTATAAGAATTGCCAAGTAATAGAGAAATATCGTCAAGTAAGGGATTAAGTCGCAAACCTGCTTGATTTTGATTTCAGCAAATATAAAATTAGGCAAAAACATAATCCGTTTTGACATCGATTTTGTTTGAATCTATCGATTTTGAGGACGATGAGACACGAGGATCTCGATCTCTTTTTCAAGATCAAAAAACAATTTTGTCGAAACTTTTCTTTTGTCTATTTTTAAATTTTACACTGATGCGTTTTCTTCCAACAAGGTATGTCATCCGAGCTGGTGTACAACATCGGTCAAATAATTTTCAAAAGCGTAATGAACAGTTCGTAAATGAACTTTTGCATTAAAGAACATCTGCGTTAAGAACAGTTTGTGTTAATGAACAATTCATAAACAAATTTTAACACATTTTCCTAATTTAAATTCTCTGAAAGTACCTGGCATAACGTTTTTACTTTTATTTATATTAAATTATATTCCTAATACTTTTTCTTATTATTTAATGTCATCACTCGGTTACTTACCAACATAGCCTTAAACAAACGGGATCATATTAAGCTGTCCCTACTATGTGTAAATGCTGATAGTTAATTAAATAAATTCTCTAAACCGTCATTATAGTTTCCTATTGTTTTTAATTTTATTTTTAAATATTTCTGGTTAACATACTCGCAATTTTTTACTCAATTTATTTATATATGTTTCCTTTAATTGCAGAACAAAAATAGTCTAAAAACCAAAGCTAAACGATTCCCTTCAAAATAATGCTCCCAATTCTTTTCTATTTCTTCATGTAGACTTACTTCTTTTATGTATTTTGATGTTAGCTTAGATTATACAGGTACACAACAGAACAAATTAATTTCTTTTGTATTTCAAGTAACATTACGTAACTTCGAATAGTATCAAAGCATAATTCCTGTTAATTCGATATCAACAACTAACATATAAGCTGCATTACTGTCAGTGTTGACAGAATACATAGATAGTATCACTGATAAATCGATTAATGCATTAAAATATCATTATCGGTTAATTTACAAATATATCTTTTCTTGTCAGGTTATGGAGGCAGAGGATTCGGTGATGGTTACGAAGTTGGTTCTGATGGAGCTGCTGCTGAAGCAGGATCTGGTACAGGAGGACAGGGACGAGGCTATGACTTCATAACTGATGCTGCTGCTTTAGCGTCAGCTGCTGCTTCTGCTTTTGACTTAGGAGGAAGAGGATATGGAACTGGTTCTAACGCTGCTGCTTCATCTTCTGCTGCTAGCAGTTCATGGATTGACACTTCAACTATATATTCTACTATTTCGCGATTATCATCTTCTTCATCATCATCTAGAATTTCTTCTGCTGCTTCTGTTCTGGCTTCTGGGGGTACCTTCAATGCTAATGCATTGTCTTCAGTTATTTCAAGTCTGGTGTCTCAGGTTCGCTCCACATCCGATGCACTTTCTGGATGTGAAGTCCTTGTTCAGGTTCTCTTAGAAATTGTGTCAGCCCTTGTACATATACTGAATTCATCAAAAATTGGTCAAATTGATTTGAATTCGGTCAATTCGTCTTCAGATATTGTCTCTCGCTCATTGTTTGCTTTAGCTTGAAATAGACTACGTTATGTTTTTCATTATTTTGTTAATGTATAACTTTTTTTTTATTCTTCTGTTACTGTATAATCTAAAAATAAATGCGTATCTTGAATGGTTTAAAAGTATCCATTTAATTTTATGAAAGTTTTTCAATCTTTATTATTATGCTCATTTCCTTGTCTGTAAATGTTAGAAAACATATAGTTGGAATGCTCGCTGTTACTGTGTTGTGGCCTACCGAAAGAGGGAACTACTGTTATTCCTAAAATTCTACAAATAATTTATTTGTACTTTTAAATAACGAGGTTTCTATACTTTTGTTTCAGCAATGTGGCAAAACGCGGATTTTTTTTTCCCTGGCTACGTTCTAAGGATGTAACGTTCAATTGCGTTCAATGGCATTATGTGTGTTGGAGCAAAGTAAAATGTTTATGTTAATTTTAAATATGTTTTTATTGTAAGAAAGTACTTATTCATTGTATTAGCTCCAAGCCTACATCTGTAACGGCGTTCTTAATTTTTCTATGTTTGGAGTTTGATTTCAGTTGCCTTGTACAAACAGGTGAGCACTCACTACAGAAAATTGCAATAGGTCATGCTTTTATTTATTTATGAATGAAAAAGATTAATCTTGCGTACGTGTATTATAGTGAGGCCCGTTGGCTAGCGTACTGCGCAGCTGCACCACAGTTCCGCGGCTCGATCCCCGACGAGTTGGACAAGGTTGACTCAGCCTTTTATTCCTCGAGTGGATCGATAAAGTGAGTGTTAAGTTCGCTTGGGGACTAAGCACCACTTGTATAGGGACACCACTTGACAAACTGGCCACTTGTACAGGGTATATGCTCATGTACCCTGAGGCCCACGGTCTAGAAAGCAGATGTCAGAGCACTTCAGGCCATGGCTCACCAAGGGCTGTTGCGCCATTGAGTTTAGTTTACGTGTATTATAGTATGACAATGATGATTTTGGTTACTGAACCCAGAAGTAATTTAATAAGAAACCTGAATTAGCATTAACTAAAATCTATATACAAATGAAAACGCCACATTCGAGGGAGAACCTTCGTTTAGTCCAAGCAAACTCTAAAAGGAATGTTTAGTGTAACAAACGTTTTTGCATTCATGGTTTGAGCAAATCTCAGGTATTGTCAGTTTTGGAATTTTCCACAGAAACACTTGTACAGGTGTTCACAGTATCACAGCATGCAATGAGTAGTTGCACTTTAAACTACTAAGAACGTTATGAAAACGCAATGAAAAGCGCATCTAAAGAGAAAGCTAATCCAGAAATATCTCAGTACTCCGATCTCACACTGAACTAACATCTCGCAATAATAACAACAGCAGCAACTGAGAGCAGAGGCTCTTACCGGTCTTATATAATTTTCATGCAGCCGCTGCGATATTTCAAGTACTTTCTGCTTCTCGAAAATACTAGAAGGCAATATGAGTGTCAAATTACAGTTGCAGCTAATACACTGATCAATTACATTTATTCAGATACAAATACTTATTATGGTGATACAGGGACCGGACCAAAATGGTCACCAAATTTGGCACGTGAAACATGTGCAATGGCTTCACCGGGACTCGAACCTTGGGTCTCTCAAATACGCGTCGAGTGTGCTACCGTTACACCACGAAGGCATGTTAGAATGAAGGAAAAAGTACTTTATAACTCTTTTAATAAAACGTTTCAAACGTATAGCTGCATTCACTTATGCCAGGTATCATCTAAATTCATCAAATAGTGGTTCATCAATTAAAATATATCAAATATTCAAGACAAAAGTTGAAACTAACAGTTTAATAAAGCATTAACTAGTTCAACTACTATTTCAATAAAGCACTATCTGAACTATATTAATAAAGTAGCAACCCTATCTATAACACAAAGCTTTGTTCTTGGATTTCCTCTGTCAATCAATCAAATAATTTTCACAGTATCTACCTGGGCGATGATGTAAAATGAATTTCTTCTATAGGCAAAATTTCGTTTTTTTTTTTTTTTTTTTCGTGTATTTTGTTGTTTTAATATACTAATGCTGAGCTTTTCTGCAGCTCATAGCACTATCAAGTTTCAAACATTTCTCCTGAACATTTAGAAACATTTTTCGAAGTCACTCGCAGATTAGATAGGAATGTAATCAAAGAATCGACAATTTGAAATATTGGTTACGGTACTTTTTTCCGTTCATCCAAAAAACTTATTATTTAGTAAAAGAACAATTCTTAATATTTGAAAATAATTTTTTTTTCAGTTAAAATAAACGGTTTGTTTGAAATACTAGACTTTTTTTAGGTATGGAAATCGTTTATTCGAAACTCACATTGGCACCAATTAGTTCCCATAATTTAGGTTGCGCTCTAATGCATTTTGACACTTAACAGACTCTTTTTGCTTTGATTAGCGGGTAACGATCCAATCTAAATTTACAACAAGTATGCTGCAACTCGTCAGTTTTTGAATAAATCAAGGAAATGAGCCACTTAAGACACGAAATATAAATTAATAACTGACAGAAGGTCAAAAACTTTTAAATTCGAACACGTGGGAAGAATGGGCAGGTTATCGCAGTGCGAAGACTTTCGCTAGAAAGTTCTTTCACACGCCTGGTCGTTACGTAGCATTCTAAAGTTTTGGTTTTTATCGGCGGGGGGGGTGGGGGTAGAGGATTAACTGAGAAGTTCTCTTTGGGATGCAGTGACGTTTCACGTAAAGAACTGGGAGCAGCGGAACCGAGATCTCTAGTGCTATGGATTTGTTAAAGGCAGATATGGTATGTCTCTTGTTATGACTATTATTCCTAAATTAAAAGTAATGAATCTTTATCTGTATTCAGCTTTAAGAATTTTATATCATGTCTTTCACAGTTTTTCTTGCGTTTTCGAATTTTTTTGGATGCGCGGCCTAGATGTTTCTTATTTTTTTTTTTTTTATTATATGACCAGGTAGCCGTTACTAGCGGGGGTACAGCGCGTAAAAGCTCGCAGGCGGCCAAAACCGGAGGCAGCCGGACTCTCGCGATAGCACGCCTAAATATTTTAAATTCATTGCAATTACTTATCATATGTACATATTTTTTATAAAAATTTTCATATATAAGTAATTGATGAGTACGAAATAAAAATTTTATTAATCATCGAGCTTTTTCTTTTTTTTTTTTTTTTAATTTGGGGGCGGCAATCAGGAAATTACGCCGGTAGCCAATGGCGTAAGAACGGCCCTATATATGACTGTCCTTAGAATAGAATAATCTTGTAGATATTGATTTTCTTAAAAAGCGTAAATACCAATTTTTCTAATTTACCTTTATGATGCGGTTATTTCATATGTATATATAAATTACGCGTTTTAATTCTACTCCTTTTGAAAACAGAAAAGTGAATGTTAGGAATGCAAGATTTTGTAATTTTCGTTCAAAGAAACAAACCGAAAAAATTCTCGCAATTTTTAAAGAAAATATTCTAACAGCAAATAAACTGCTAAGAATTTTTGAGTGAAAAGTATATTAAAACTTTTCTGATTTGTGCTTCTAACTTTTTCCATTTATTCATTTGAATTCGGAATATTGTTATATTAAAGCATGAAACAGCGTCTTAATTCAAGAGTATAAAACATTTATTCCCAAGCAGGGGGGTAATTCGACTCTAGAGGGGAATTCTGTACTTTCAAAAGGAGAATACGGTCAGTCTGGTCCACCTGCTTCTGCTCCCGATAAAAATTATCTAATTCTAAATAAATGTACATATATTTTTCGAGTTTGGGAAAGGAAGCGAGGGGAGATGTAGCAATGGTGAAAGCCGTGCATAGAAGCAGAAAAGGTTGAGACTCACCAGCATTTCTTTTAATTGTATAAATCTAATGGTTCCCAGACAAAAGCCCACTGGACGAAAGCGCACGCGAAAAAAGCCCCCCCCCCACAAAAAAAAAGGCCCACTATGATAGTTCCCCACGCGAATAAAAATAAATGGAGTATTCAGATCTGAATTTTAATGTCTCAAATATATGCCTGTTTGTATATTTTATCACAACTTTATTTGTTCAATTTATTATGTTAAAAGCAAACTTTCTGATTGAGTGATTAGCTATAACGTTTCGATGATAAATCTGCAATTGCATTTTATTATTTATTTACTTATTTAACTTTGGTATGTGAATGTGAAAATGAAAATATCATTGTGGAGTTTCTCGCGTGCTATTTTTAAGGTAATTTGGCTGAGATTAAATATAAATATGTTTCATTATTAAAACTATTAGCTTTTTAATTAAAAACACTTGAATTTTATTTTAATTCTTTTTAGTTTTACCTTTAGTTTCTTTTAGTTCCTTTTTACTTTAGGAATATTAAAACAGTTAAGCACAATGAAAACTTGGCTAAGAGAGATTTTATTCTTTACTTTAGACTGAGCTTATTATCAAAGTTTAAAATATTTCTCATTGAAAGCATTTTTGAATGTGACAATTATAATGTGGCGATTTTCTAGAGATATTTTCTTTTAGATTTCTGAATAAATTAAAACTGTCAGCTGACACCCTGTCAGAAAATGAATTCCAAATGTAACCTCTTAATCTAGTAAAGCAATTTTGAATAGTGTTTTTAATTTTAATTTAATTTATTTATTTATATTTTTTTTGGGGGGATGAAACAACTCTTAGAAGTCAACATATCTACAAATTTAAGTACAATCACCTCAAACTGTAGTAATAAATGTGTAGCATTTTATTAGAGTTTGTGAAGATTACAAAGAACTATGCATATAATAACATCTAATAAAATTTTGTAACTACATGAATATATACAGTCATCAGATTCAAAGTTCATCGTTTTTAGATGCTAAGTATACATATTATATAAATTCATCATTCATTAATAGTATTAAGTATAGTAATAGAAAATTAGTATTAATGTTTCAAATTGCAATTTTTTTAATAATTTGTCTTGCATTTACTGTATATTTGTTAAAGACGTATGGATATCAGTTATAAAACATGAAAAATACACAGAAAGCAGCTAATCTTATATAACAACTGATTGTGAAAGAAAAATTAGTGCTTTTAATTACAGTTAATAGCGCTTTTAAATCTTCCTATTGTAAATAGCCGTTTTCTAATTAAA